GGTCACTTGATTTCTTAAACAACAAACAAAGAAAACTGCAAAGACTTCGCTGCATTAAATCAAATTTGTCACACTCAAAGTATTTAGTATTTACCTAAAGACTAAGTATTTCGGCACCCTTTCTTGTTTTGTTTTTCCCGTTTTCACATTTAGCTTTAATAATCAGAAAAGTTTTGTCTCTTTTTTTGTTTGCTGTAAATTTGGTGTAGGAAACCCGTTTAAGCAGTAGATCGAATCCGCCTTTGGTTTGCCAAATTTTCGAATTTATTAGCGGTAACTGCAGTAGATCAAACAATAAACAAATATATATTCAACTTATTGCTCTAGCAACTAAGTAAATTTTAAACATGAGCTTTATCTCTTGGCAAGCAATGCAGGCAGAAACTGGGAAACTTCATCTCTGTCGCTCTTTTCTAACTCTTCCATATCCTACAAACTGACAATTAGTAGACTTTGGCTATCTTGTGGTCGAATAAATTTGTTGAATAGAAAACTTATCACCAAATGTCAGTCATAAGACGTCAGTGGTCAATTTTGATCATTTAATAAAATTGTCATTTTATTAGCCTTGAAGTTTCCAATTTGATAATTATCTTTTTCCTTTGTCTTTATTTTCCTTGTTGTTTTAAAAAAGGAACTGAAATGAACATGTGGAATAGACAACAAATTAAAAGCACCAATTTGACTGATTCAAAGCGAAAGTCGTTGCTTTTTTTCCTCGTTAATGGTTTAAAACAGTACCATAAAAGAAAAAGACTGACTGTTTTATGATTTTTATAGGACTAAGTAATATAAAATAGCTGCACCATTTCTGCTATTATCGTCACCACCACCAGCATCAACAATAGTAACAGCTGCAGCTGAACCAGTAACATGGGACGGGTGAGGAAAGAAGGTTGGTGGTGGACGAACCATTGTGAAAAGCCGTTATATTGCTAAGCAATAATGAACAGCATTGTTGACAAGTGCTGCACTACAATAGGAGAGCACTTCACGGGAACCTTAGCTATAACTCAGTGGTCACATTACACACTTAGGAAAGGCCAACGATTTGAGCCCCTATTCTCCCAAATTGTATGCTTGTGTAAACTTATTTTAAGATCACACAAAGACTAGACAGTAAAGCAAGCTACATTTTTTTTCAAACCTCAGTCAGAGCGATTGCAAGTAAAGCTAAGATGTGAAGAGAGTTTTGCGGTTTGATAATCATAGATCGTACTGTAATAATAGACTCAAAAAAAGGCATAAGATAACAGTGGTGCCTGACACGCTTTCCTTTTTTCTTAAGAAATCACAACACTGCTAAGCGAAACCATCTAAATACAATTAAATAAAATTTTTTGGTGGCGTTATGGAATTAAAAGAACTTAAAATTTATAAATTTTTATTACTATACTTAATTCTCAACCATATTATGTTGTCGTCAGTTGTCTTTTCACCTCTTGAACACGGTTGAGGAGCCTTCCTGCACATGATGATGACTATTTTTCATTTATTTCACTTCAGTCAACGTTCTTGAACCACTGCAGTCAATTATAGTAATCACTCTTTAGCTAATACTAGCAGATGATAATCAAAGATAATGACTTCAAGTAGCATAACATGTTAAGGAGATGGAGAGGAAATTGTTATAAGACATTTTTATTACTAGGTTCTCACTGTTACTTTTTGTTTACTCTTCCTACCAAAAAAAATCTTTTTAGGTTTACTATTTCAATGAGAGGTTAGGAATTAGAATGTATTTCTCCTTTTTCGTTTTACTGCCTTTCTGCTACAGTGTTAATCGGTATTTATTTAAGGAGATTAGACCAGATGAACGGCAAGAACATCGAGAACAGCAACAGCAACGACAATTAGATTTAAAAAGTAAAGATTCTAAAGAAGCATTTTCTCGAAGTGTTCGAGCAATCTATACGGATAGCAGATGCCATTGCCCGCCAGGTTAGGCATTATTAAATTTCTAAATATTAAAATTATCATCGGCTATGGTAAATAATTGTACATTAATATAAATCCGCAACTATTGTTTATCATTTTAGTCATAATTATTATACAAAAATTTGCACCTTATTCATTTTGAATGCTACTTTGATTTCTTATAGTTACTCCTTTTTGCCAAGTTCTTTCGCCAGAAAAAGATATCAAATTTCATTTGGTCAAAATATCTGTAAACTAATTTGGTAACCTGCCTATACGCATTTCTGTAGTATGACAAACAGGTAGCTTTTGGTATATAAGTCAATAAATGGAGGGGATAGGAATGAAGAGGACGGGAGAAAGGGAAGAAAGGTTAGCAGAAAGGAGGGAGAGGGAATCATTCGTGATACATGGAATTTAAATTATACTCTAATGCAATAGAATGAGACAAATTTTTAAAAATATTTTTTTTTTTTTGGTTTCAAACTTTATTATCCTACTGATAACTAGTTACAGAAAAATTTAACTGGTACAGAAGAATTTAATAAGTGGGTAGTTATTGTTGTTGTTTTCTTTTATCTTTGATCTTCTGTAAGGTTATATAATATCAAAAGTGATATGAAAAAATTTTTGAGCTTTTTTAATAACAGAAAAACAGTTGAGGAATTTTCTTGACTACTGAACTTGGCTTACTTTCTTGATTTTTGGTTGTTGGTGGTTGGGTAGGAGAATAATTTGAGTATTTTTGAAGTGGTCAATAAGGTAGCACAGTTGTAGTTCATAGGTACAGAAAATTTTACCAAGATACCAACATGATAGAAAAAAAAAGAAACAAAGTGGAAACTTGAACTTTAACTTACTGCCTGTATCGGCATGGAGAGGAACTACTGGTTATTTGTTTAACAACAGAATCTTTCATTCTTTACCAAAATCATTCTTGGGAAATGAGGGAAAAAAATGTTTAAACTTTGAGATAAGTAAACAATTAAAAAAATATGCAGTTTTTTCAACTTTATAAAAATTTGAAATGAGATCAAAAATTAATTAGAACTAAAAATTTTTTGTCGACATTAAAGTTTATTTATTGTAAACAAAAATTTTTCCCTTTTATCTCAAGAAATTGTTGTTGTTGTTTTCTTATTGCTAATATTTTGCTTGCCAATTGAGCGGTTTGCAGGAAAAAACTTAAAAGAACACGAAAAAGGCAAATTTTTTAGATTTTCTGCTTAAATAAAGTGTTTTCTGCTGGAAGAAAAATTTTCAAGATTTTAATTAATTGGTTCTCTTTTTTGCTTTTTTTGAAAGTTTTTACTACAGTGCTGACTATTGATTATGATATATATATGGGCCATTCCACGCCAAATCGCACAACTTT